TGCAGGTTTTGTGTGGAAGGAACAGCTTTTCTGTAAGTACCTGTTGAAATGGAACATTATTCCTTGTCAGCATCTGTCACATGTATCATTGCATCAGTCTAAAAGTAATTTTAAATGGAAGCTGATAGTGATGGTTATAGTGTTGAGAACTAAAAGATAAAATGGGTTTGAATTATCTGTTGTCATGTCGTCATGTCCCTTTGAGGTCCTTCTAGGAGATGTAGGTTGTTTTTTTAATTTAACCAGATTATGAGATTTTGAAAATCACCTGCTGCAATGGAGTAGTAGATTTTTCATGTCTGTTTTTAATAAAATTGTAATGTACTCAGTTAGTGAGAAGGACATTCATAATACATGTGAAGACTTTATTCTCTCTTACGGTTTCCCACACTCTACCCTAAGAGAGGGAAGGTGAAGAAGATATAGGATATAGGTCCATGGAGGGGTAAAACTTTGAATTTTTCACCTCTTTTCCTAAAGCAGTACATAGCTGCCTTATTTTTTGTGCAAGGATTATACTGAAAATTCAGATCTTTCCTGGTTAAATTGTCATTTAATGTTTTAGAAAGCTGAAAAGTAAGGTCAGTCTGATTATGTTCCTAAGCCCATCTTAACACAGTTCCTCTCTTTAAAACATTTAAAAGTGCTTTTCATGTCAAAATCATGAAATGTAACTCACATACAAGTTAAAATGCTGCTTGTGAAAGTCACTAAAGTTCACCCAAAGCATCTCACTTAGGTGCCTCTTAATGGATGAAAGCATGAAAAGAGACAAAGGTTTTAATGTCTCTTTTGACTTCATGTTTTCCTGGTTTTGTGAGTGTACCCAGGGTAGTTAATGTTTTTTGCAATTATACCTAACAGTTGGAGATGTACTTGACTGGAGTGACTCAAATCTTATATAAGTAATTCTGGTAATTATCCTGCACCTTGAAAATAAGGCCCGAACTATAATTATTTATTGGAGAGATATTGCAAGAACTATTCTGTGTTAGAATAAGGCAGATCCTTAACATAGTTTTAATGTAAATGCTGAACACTGTCTTTTAAGATACTAGTCTAGGTATGCTATTAACATGTATGAAGGAGGTAAATGCTTAACAGAAGACAGACAAGTTAAGTACACTTTTTGCAGTAATCAAGCATTTGCTTTCAGCAAGTCCTTTACCTAGGAGGAGTCCACTTCAGCATTATAGTAAAAGTGTTACTTAGGTCCATCTGTGGTTCTGAGGATGCCTCTGACTCGCCAAGGACTCCAGAGGGATCAGTTGATATGCTGCATCTATAAAAACAATTTAAGTAGCTCTAAGTAAGTCTTTGTGCCAATTATGTTAATGAAGCTGCAAGGGGACTATGAATTTAGAAGTCCTCTAAAGTCCAGTATTGGCCCAGCAATTCAGAAGCTTCTTAACAAGACATTTAAGTAGGGCTCTTTAATCTCTCTAATTGGTGCTTTGGAGTGTAGAAGAATACATGAACCCTGCTGTGTTCTAAAAGCAGTAGAACATCTTCACTAGCCAGTAATACCTAGTGAAAACAGAATTTCATACTGTACTGTACATACTTCTGTACTAAATAATGATGTGGAGATGTTTCATTTCACTGCTACTTGTCAGTGCAGCTTTGCTGTTGAATGGTGCTTGACTGCAGCTGTGCTGGAAGTGGATCAGCTCTGCCCTCCATGACTGTAATGTCCCGTTCCTGGGCATTGCTGAATATCCTGTTTGGGAGCTAAGGGGAGAAACCAAAGAGTAGCCAAAGGACCTGCTGAGAGAACAAGAGCTTTGGTGCCATGATTACTCTCAGGAGCCCTCAAGCCTCACCTCACAGAGTAGGATTTTTACAAACTGAAGATGGGTTATTTAAACTTGGATACTAAAACTTGGAAAGACTAGGAGTAAACTTAAAGGTATTTAAATGTAGAATAACAACTTTCTCTCACAGAAGTATAGCTCTAGTGGATGCTAGGATTTTTAAAACCATTTCATTTAAAGAAAATCTGTAAGGTTGCTACTTTCTAGCTGTAGCTTTTATCCCAATCTCACTTTCAACTCCTATGTGCATTCTCTTCAGAGTGAGACTTATGTAATGGTAATGTGTGTGTATGTATATATATATATACACACACATATACACACACATTATGTATGTGTGTATACACACACACATTAGGGTGGCTTAGGTGTCTCCCATCTCTTTTGCCTTCTGCGGAAAAAGGGAGTAGGACAAACACACATCTTGGTGGGTTCCAACGTTATCTTGTCCCTGATTACTCCTGCTGCAAGCTTTTGGCTGAAGTTCTGAAGAGCTCTTCTACTTTTCTTTTTTTTTTTATCTCCAGAGTTTACATTCATTGCAAATTTTTTATTACCTCTGGCTATTAGTTTTGTAGAAGAGGTTTACAGGGTGTCATCCTTATGATTTGTATAAGAACTCCAAGACAGTATAATGGGCCACCTGGCTTGTGCTTCAAATGAATAATTAGGCAATGTCATTTAATTTTTCCTTACCATTCATCCTTACTATTGGAGGAAGAATGAAGGCTACCCACTGATAGAAAAGAGTGCAAACCTGATGAATCCACTAGAGGAAGGATCTGCACTTTTGTGTTTATCCCATGCTAAGCAGAATTCAGATCATGGAACATCCAAGGAGATTTGCCCCCTACAGGACATCATTTATGTATGTTGACTTTACATATTATTCCCTCTGGAAATAAATTTTTCCCTGTAGTCCTGCTTTTTTCTACTGTTTCATCAAAGCCTTTATGTCATCTCTAGCTGGCCAAAGGGAACACACTTTTGCTGTGACTCATTTTTGGTGGTGTTTTTATTTTGTTTAGGGGAAGCAAAAAGGTCTGTATTTTGTAAGGATATTTTCAGAGGCATTAATTTATTGGTGTAAATGAGGGGGTTTTTATCGTAACTGATATCTGTCACTCCTCTAAGTTGTAGGATATAAGTTTGAGTTAATCAGAACATGCAGGAGAAGGAAAATTGGCACAGGACTGTACTTCAGATACAAATGTTGTAACCATATTAGCTTTTCACTTGAATGATTAACTTGTATATGATCACACCTATGTATGTGCACATAAACAACCATTTATTGTTATTTTTGTGTTACCTACTCAAAAAGGCAAACAAAGTCATTTATATCTATTTAATAATCTCTTGGGGTTTAAAAAATAATTTATCATGGTTAAAACCTTGGAATGAGAGAGAGATCTTGCCAAAATAATTTTAAAATGTTCACAGTGGCCTGTAGGCTAATGTTTTTTAACAAAGTTATCAAATATAGTTGTATCTGATATATCTTGCATGAAGGCTAATTGCTCTTCTGAGCATGTTTATTTTAAGGAGTCTTTTCTATATTTGTGCATTTCATAAGAATATTTGGGAGGAGTGAAGTATGATGCATAAAGAGGAGGCTTCACTCTCTTCAAGACTCTTGTGGAAGAAATACTATGTGAAGTTTTTATTGTGTGTGTGTAGTTTATAGTTGTTTCTTTGTAGGTTTAGAAGAAGAACCACATGTGGATATCCCACTTCCCCACAATCCCATTGCTTTGGGCAATGAGTTAGTGCAGCAGATATTTTGTTCTAGAGCTCTGCACAATAATTTCTTAAATGTTTTAATTAACATCAACCTGTCTTTCCTGTAAATTACTCTAAACACCTGTCTCTGTTAGATACTTCAGAAATTATTTTGAAAACTGTGTTTTGATTATCCTTCCCTTTTACTCTGACAAAACTTTAGTTTAATTATCACATGAAAAATTTCACAAACTGTTTAAGGAAAATCATATGTATAAATTCATATAAAAAACCTTCACAAAATACTTTTTTTGTAAAGTGCTTTTTTATTATGCATTGTCAACAGTTAAATGGTACGTTGCTCTTTCACGCAAGCTGGAATAGTGTTAAGGGAGCAAATGTTAGTTCATAAACATGTTCAGGGAAAAAAGTGCTAAATCTGCATAAGTTTGTACAGGTTTAAATATGGAACTGGAGTGCTGCTTCAGTTAAAATGACTTTGAATTAGTTCTGAAACAATCACTAGTCTTAATTGTCCAGTGTTCCCAAACTTTGTTCCAGTTCTACCTTGGATGTTTGTGTTTCTCCTGTGTCAAAATTTACACACTTTTTTTTTTTGTTTTTCTTCCCTGTCATACAATATAATGTCATAGTAGCAGCTCTAAGAATATACCAAAACAGTACTGTTCACCATCCAGTTGTAGTTACTTTTCAACGAGTCCATTTCAAACAAAGTACTGCATATTATTGGAAAAAAAACCCCAAAACAAACCCAAAAACCAAAACAAGCAACCCCCCAAAAACCCAACCAAACCCTAAATCCTGTACTATGAGCTAACACAACAAATGTACACAGGATATCATGAAACAATAGCTCAGTTACAATAATAACAATACATAAGAAAACAACTATGGAAATGTTTTTTTCTGGTTTTGTGCACACCACTAGGTGATTCACATCTTAATTTGTTACAAATGATAGTAAAATTGAATGATTGTGTTTCTGCAGGACAGTCATGTAGTAAAATATTTCTTGTGACGTTTAGGAAGACAGAGAGACAAGTTGTTTTAATTACAGGCTGAAAAAATAGGAACTAAGCAAGTAAAGTCCAAGTAATTGACAGTATATAATACAAATTTTTATATTAATTCATAAATTCCTCTAGGAGGACTAAAATAGCACGAAAAATACCTATTTATTACATACTTTGTAATGAGTGACAGATGTAGGTGATCACTTAGCTGTTTTATTAATTTTCATCATAGAATCTATTTCTTTTAATTTGTTCTTCTATAGTGAGCTGTTTGAACTTGAATTTCTCACCTTGGAATGATGGAACAGCTGTGTATGTTGAGCTCAGTAAATCTAAGCTTGTGTTTATGTCATTCTTTGACAATTTGATTATTTCAGTTTCTTGACAGACATTAATATAATTCAATTCTGTATCATAATTCCCATGTTCTTCATGGGCTGCAGGAACTTTTAGTTATATCTACAGAGTGTATTAAACCACAGTCTAAATCCAGGTTGTTGGTGTTTTTTTTAAGAAAAGATGTTTTCAGAGCGTCAGATAAAATAGTATTTAAGTTTTTGTCATATTTTGATTCTTCTCCAGTGCATACCAACTCCATATCAACAGGCAATGTTGTATTAGTTGCCTCCTTTAAAACTAATGTGCTAGTAATATGAGACTTCTGACAAGTGGCATCTTTATTAAATTGAGCAAGATTATTAGAGGTAACAGTATCTTCATCTTTTGATTATGTTCATCCTGTGAAACAGTTACAGTATCACTACAATAGCTCTCATGAGATTCATGCATCTCAAATATTTCTTCATTTCCAGACTGATTTTCCAGCTTTGCAAAGGCATGCTGCGATACAGTGCAAATTGCATGGCTTAATGCTGTCATTGGGTTAGTTGTAGCTGAGAGAGTTGTTTCTTGCCTAAAATGTTTAGGTGTGAAAAAGTGGCATAATTGTTATTGTTATTCAAGCTAAATTCTTTGTGATTCTTTTGTACTGTTACATCATCAATGTTAGTAACCTGTACAACTTCTGAACCAGCAGTTTCATTCATTTTTTTCTCTTGTTCCTTCCCAGCAGTATACACAATCACATTATCACCTTCATTAAAATCCTTTCCACTTTCCTCCATATTCTGTGATCCTCCTGTTTTATTCCACTTATCTTGCACATTCCCAGCTTCTTCATCTTTTCCCTTATTGCCTGCTTCATTTTTCTTTGCTTTAGAGGTATTTGTAGCTTCTTTTTCAGACAGAGCACTGAAGGATGAGTCTTGATTTTGTTGTGCATTTGCAGTGTTATTTTTATTTTGCTCTCTCACAGCATTTTCTTTCTGAGGATCCTTTTTATTGCCCAGAGGTTTATTTGTATGTAAATTAGAACCTTCTTGAGCAAAACCTTTGGGGGGCCACTTGGGCTTATTTATTTTAGCCACTTCTTCAATAGAAAATGTTTTCTTAGGTGTTACTTCATCTGTTGAAGGAGGCCATGTCAGCTTTAGTTTACCTCTTTCTGTGTTTTTTTTCAAATTACTATCCAAAATATCAGGATGAGTACCATCAGTACCTGAGTACAAGTCTTGATCAATGTCTGTAATTGGTTTAGGATCGACAGGTATACTATTAATGGGATTTGTTTCTTCAGCATGAGTATTGCCAGCTGAGCTACATCGATCTTTAGAATTCCATAATTCTTTATGCTGCTTGTGTCCAAAGCCTTCATCATAATTTCCTTTGGACTTGAAAAGCTGCTTAAAATGGGGTTTACAGTATATTTTTCCGTGGAGAGATGCATAATTTCCCAAGCTGCCAAATGGAAGAAAATTTGTTTTACACTTTACATATCATAAATCTTCTGTGAATTTTAAACTTTAGTTGGTATTTCAAGTACCCCTACATGACAGTATATATAGAGAAAAGGAAGAGCAAAAAGAGAGCAAATTCAATGTATTGGCCAATTCTACCCCAAAACAGAAGAGCAAAAAGAGAGCAAATTCAATGTATTGGCCAATTCTACCCCAAAACAGAAGTATTTAAAACTAATGCAAATTCCCATACAATTTCAAAGTCAAAATGAAGGAGAAAGGTCATGCTTTGTGATTTTAGAAAGAACATAAATCTATTCAGTTGTTGCACAGCATAAGCTTCAAATAACAAAATTCTGCAGCACTTCGGGGTTGCTGAGACCTTTTTCTTCATCATATTAAAGACTGAATTCTCTATTTTTCCTACGAAATAGGTGGAGAAAATACAGTGCCAATTTTCTGTAACCTTTGTGCAAATTATAGAAATTTGTGTTTAATTATATCTTGATTCTGCTCCTAAATGAAGTAGAGGAAATGTATGTAGCTAACCTCAAAAGTGTTAAAGTCTGAACTGTTAGCCTAAGCAGTCTGTTAGCCTATTTAACTGTTAGATAAATACTGCATTTCATATAAAGGTTACAGGAGTGGTTTGCTAATGCAGAGAATTATCATCATTCATCTTATGGCTGAGGAAAAGTAAGAGAAAATTTGGTCTGTGTTCAGATGTTTTAAATTCCACCCGAGTTTCTGTGTCTTCCAGATCATGAGCTGTCCTGGAGGTCTGGAGTAGTCAGCGGGAAACAATATGCAGAAGAATTTGGAAGGTAGTGGGATGAAGCAGTTCTTTAGAGAATTTAAGAGCCTTGTTCCACGTAATAGTTCAGGTGTCAGCAGCAGAGAAGAAAGGGGGAACCCAGGTTACCTTCCTGTCAACCCAACATCCTACAGGCTGAATAGCCTAGTTGAAAATAATTTCGGCAGCTGCATTTATATTCAGATGCAGAGTTCTCTGAGTGAACATGCAGTTAGTTCTTACCTTAATTGACTGCCACAGTGGTGACATCGGAAACATGATTTATGAAAATTCTGCCTGTCAGCAACCAGGCATTCCATTGGGTAAACTCTCTGTTGACAGAGTCTGCATGTCTCGTTTTCCTGAATCTGCAGTTTCTAGAACCACATATTAAAAAGTATGAGTTAGTTTAAGCCACCTATTATGATTTATTTTTAACTGTATAATTCATTATGCTTTGTTAAAACTGTAGTTTTCTTTATGCTTTAACTGGTATCTCAGCTGTCAATTTTAGGGCTTCATTTGTTCAGCTAACAATAATACTTTGAAAGTAGAAATACTACTCAACTTCCCCTTCTCAGAAATCCGTACGTTTGAAAAGACTATTCACTTCACTATACCAGGTACAGTATTTTCCATTTATTTTTAATAACTATTTATTCTGTGAAATGATATAGGATGATAAAAGGTTTACTGATATAAGTTGGAATTGAAAGGTTTACTAGTATAAGTGGAACTGAGTATAATATATGTATAATCTTTGAATCTATAATGTGATTTGGAGATCAATAAACAAGGCAAATGTTTGAAATTCTGAGGAGGAAGTTTTGCTTAGTCATGCCAACAACACATCAGGGAGTTCTACTTCTGTGGTAATCTGCAGAATGTACACTCATATGGTCCAGATATGCTATGGACAGAATTATTGGTGATTAAATTTTATAGTTTTCATTTTCAGACCCGATACTTTCTTCAGTTAGGGCTGAGTTAGCTAGAATTACATTAGCTAACTCTTATCAAATCCTTTCTTTAATGAAGTATAATTAATTTAAAAAAAACCTAGTGCTTTATAACGTAGAAAGCGTAAATAGAAAGTTTATTTCATACCAGTAAGGGACAGAAAGAAATAATGGACAATCTGTTTGGCTTGCAAAAATGCATGCTGCTTTTCTGTCTTAATTCCCATATTGCTGTGAGAACTGTACTAGCAGACAAATACAAATAGGGTGTACCAAATAATTGCTTGTATAAATATATCTTCATTAACAATAGTAATGGCCCTTGACATCAGCAGACAATTTGGCCCCTTTCAGCATTCTGTCTGGTTTTGGTTTGCCTGCTGGTATTGATTTTATAGCAATTCACAAATCAGGACAGAAAGTTATGTAGATTTTATAAGCACAGCTTTAGTTGCAGAATATCTCTAGTGCCCATAATGGGAGCTGTGAAAAATGCTGAAAATTAAATATCTTCAAAATAATGTGGAATTTGCAGTAAGAATAAACCACCAGTAAAAACTAACAAACAACAATATTCCCCAAAGAATTGTTAATTGTATAATAGAAAGCCTCAAATGTAGCTTAGGTTTTTGAGGGGCACTGAGTGGCTACACTGCTTAGTGATGTGAAGCCTGGACTCTGACGTCAGGTAGATAGGTGGGTTTGCTGCCTTAATTCAGACTAAGGCTGTGTCAACTGTTAAAATCGCTCTGCAGGAAATAGCAGGAAAATGTTTATGTTAATTTGGAAACTGTTTCAGTAATTTTTCTTGAACAAGAAAGACACTGAATTGTAGTTTACTTTGTCTTAAGTCACATCTTGTGCTTTAATAAACTGAAAACAGATGTGCACAAAACATGACCATTATTTTATCTCTAAAGCTATGTTACACAGGCAACGTTGTACTTCAGTTAAGAGGATCTTGCATTGAATTTAAGCAAGAGAAGTCGGGTGCATTCTGTGCACATTTCTAGCATGTTATTATTTCTCAAATACAACTGTAGTGCTATTTTGATTTTAATATCTATTTTTAGTATCTTTTTATTTTGCTCTGTGTAATTCAGGGTAGCACTTATGGCATTAATCCTCATAATTGTGGAAGAGATAGCAGCTAGAAGCTTTCACAGCAGTTCCAGCATCTTCCTGCAGTTCCATCAAGCTGATCAGCCTTCTTGTCTTTATGGAGATCTATGTGAATTCCTACATTGTATTTTTGTACTACTTGCGAATCATTGCCATCAAATTTAGAATCAGGAAGTGTGCTTTGCTGTGGTGTTAGAGGGGCTGCTGCTTCTTGTGTGGGATCTTGATCTTGCTTTGATTTTTGTGATGATGTTTCAGCTGTTCTGAAGTCATCTGAATTCTCTATGTGCCAAGCTGTGTTTCAATTAACTGCCTCGTGCCCATCACTGCTCATGTTTTCATCCACTGAGATTCCATGTACCATTTTAAAGATAAACAGGTCTTTGTTGGTCACAAGTAAAGGCTGTGTTTTAAATGTGCAGTGTACTACTCTAACATGCCCCTTTTCACTGTCTTCTGTGGACAGCTTCATTCTCCAGTCTTTGACTGAAGTTATCTCTGGTGACAGACAATGGCTGAGGTTCAAAATATTTTATGCATCTCTTCACACTTCCTTTAAGCTATTTCAGCCCAGACCTCAGCTGCAACAAGTTAAGGACATCCAGTGGGTTAAGCTGCCCAAGTTTATCTAGGTTCTGTGCTTCCAGCACATACCTTGGAGTCTTTACAGCACCACTGGAAACTTCTTGGATACTCCTCGTCATGATAGTTTTTATTCATAGGGTCCAATGGCTGCATTTCAAACATACATGTGTGTGAACACCTCCTCTAACTGATGCGAAAGCCTTGTCCATACCTTCTGCATAGCCTGGAGCATGTACATGCAGTGTATCAAGAAACTGGCTATGTATTTAATATTTCTACCTGCAATGCTTTCTGGTCTGCAATGCTTCTAGCTTTGTCTGGGTCTGGAGGGTCATCTTTAATTGTAACGAAAGGCTGGTTCTCAAAGACCCATCTTATAGAGAGGACCTCTCTGGATTTCACACCACTGTAAGCATTTTTTTTCTGGTCTTGTGAACATGTGAATAATGAAGGCAAAGCTATATGTAGCCTGCTGCAAATCTGACATCATACTCTGTGTTTCAGGTTCACCAGATAAAATCTTAGAAGTCTCATTCAGGTAATGTTTCTCGAAGAGTTTTCTTAATTGTAAGTGGGAACATGTGTATAAAAATCTTAGTTCACATAAGTTGCTTTGCTTTGGATACAGATCTATGGAGACTGTGTGCTTCATTGGAGAGCTGGATGATTCAGTGGACTAGGAAGTTGTGTCATTTCCAGTAGAGCTGTCATGGTGGAAAACTTTTCTGTGCTTCCATACTCATGGGATCTGGAGCAAATCATTGCAGAAGTAGCAGTTCCATCCTATTTTTACCTTAGTGCAGAAGTTTCCTGAGCCTGCTTGCTGAAGTAGTAGCAATAGATGATGAACTAACTGTTGAAGGCAATGTAATTTCCTGGTACATATTTTCCATCTTTAGGGAACAAAAGGGGTTGTTTTTTTTTTTTTAAAATATAGTTACATATTTTTTATTTTTATTTTTTTTTTTTATTCTTGTCAAAAGCTAGTTCTGCTGCAAGCATCCCAGCAATAGGCTTATAGCAAGATCTGGAAAGACACACTGCATCAGCTAATGCTCAGAATGCTTAAAACAGACCTTTTGAAATAAAAGCTGCACTATTTTCACAGTGAAATGTGAAATACATACAAAATGCAAAATGATGATTGAACACTTTCAATCATCAAAATGAACAAATGAAGACTTTGCATTATAAGCATAATGTAAAGTTATGCTGTGGCTTATGCTCATTTTCATTTCTTCTGAAAGTGACATTTTCTATGCTTCTTGGAATCTGTGGTGACAGAAATTATACATATTTGCAGATTCAAAACAAGGAAATAAGAGACTGTATTCAGCAGAGGAGGACAGGAATGCAGGCATTTTTATAAAGGTCTACTTATTTTGCTTATCATGTGCTGTGAGTACTTGTTGAGCCTTCCAACATATTTCATATTATGTGCACTTAATTTCTAATGTCCGTATATTCCCACCACTTTCATAGGTTGCTTTTTTAATCACAGTCAAAATAGAAATTCAGACTGCGTGACAGACCAATATCTTAATTTCACCCCTTCTAATTTGCATAAAGATCCCTCTTATTAAAAACACAGACCTTTACTTCTTTTGCAGGTGTTGCAATCTCTCTGTCAGAGTGAACAGCCTTTTCCTGAACTGTCCTTTCAATCTGCTGTTTTAAAATCTGTGTTACAGTCTTCGGGAGCTCTTCGTTCTGAGCTGCATTGATTACTGCAATGGGAAGAAGAATAAAAAAGATCGGTTTTCCTCCACCCTGCATTTTATGAAATTGACTTTATCAGTGAATTTTAAAACATTATTACATAAGAAAAATTGCACTTAACCTTGCAGAAGTCTAGAAAGTCACTTTATCATGAACAGAAATCCATTGAGAAAACGACAGAATAGTTGCTGAGGGACGTGTTATCTGTCACCTGCTGTTTTGCCATATCTGAGTGGAGTGGCAGGGCTAAAGGTTGACAGTTCTATGGGAGAATATAATGTGTAAATTCTAATACCAGGATTAAACTGCTGCAGCAGCAGTGTCTTAACACTGTGGTCATATTCTGCAGGGATATTCAGTTCAGCTATAAATCAAACCTTTCTCATCTACAGTTCTGTATATACATGGGCTAATGTTTGCCTGTATTTTCAGACAATTCTTCAGGTCCCCAGTTTTTTTCAGGCAACTGAATGCACATGTTAAACCACCTCCTTATGCAAAAGCCATCTCTCTGCCCCAAATTCTAAACTAATTTCTTAAGTCCCATTGAATTAAATGTATGTGCTTTGCAGAGAATTCAGAGCAATATGCATTTTCATGTTTGTATGCTAAGACCAGCACATCTGTGTGAGTAAAGACATTTGCCATTGCACACTTGTGAGCCTTTATTTTCCTGCCACTTCTTACCTGTTTCATCAGTATTCTGAGTGAATGTGGAAGACATTTTTATCTCATGAGTAACTTGCTCACGATGAGAAACCTGCACACAAAACCTTTACTTTACTACAGGATTTAGTGAAACATACAAGAATTTTCCATACTCAATATTTAAAATATATGTATTTAAAATGTTCAATTAAAGAAAAATAGGAATGGAAACCTAATTAATTACCATGTTAAAACAATAATAAATTAAAATCACTTAATAAAACACCTTTAAAAACTTTTGCACTGCCTAATGAGGAAGGCTGTCAGCAAAACATCCAGATCTCACTGCACCAAGTGGTAAAGGAGGAAGAGGCAAAGCAGATATGTATCAGCATCAGTATAATTGTCCAATGACATGATTATTAATTGATACAGTTACCTCTTGTGTTTGAGAGGCTTCCATTTGACTTTCTTTGGAGGTCGTTTCATTGCATGCAGCTTCCCTGGTGCTGCTTGTATTTTGACTCCTACTTAATGTTTCCTAAAGACAAAAATAATTGCACATTAATAGCTAATAGTAAATTGGATTTTTTTTTTTTTTGCCTATGAAGGGTTTTCACAAATAAATTCTAATTTAGTGGTGTAACTAGAACAGTTATTTTACAGCAGAGTAAACTGATATTTGTTGCCATGAAAATTGGAATAGATTTTTTTATAACACAGAAGATCTCAATTTTTGTTACTCCAGCTGGACTTTAGCCAGCAGATACAGAAAGCTGCATGAATACCCACACTGTATAATTAGTCTGGAAGGGGATGAAGGTGACTAGGACTACTGGTTCCAGTTTTATGTGTTGTGCCATCAACTTGTTACCTATCATCAGTCATAAGGCTAATACAACTTTGTAAAAGGAAGTGTACTAAGAGATGCTGACTTCCTTCAGA